TTTCAGGGACGATTTTGAACAAAAGTGGGAGCAGATTTGGAATCCACGTGCTTTTCTCTTTGCAATAAGAGTAAAATCATTTCTCAACTTTAACTATTCATTGCTTATGGATTTGATGCAGAAGACTACACTTCTTTTTGAACAATGGATTCGGCCGTGCCATCGGCCCCTTTCAGAACTGGTTTTCCTGAATCGAGATTTTTACATCAGAGGACCGTTGTTTGAGCGCGCAACCTACTGGGCCCACTCTGGAACGCGCCGTGGGCTTCACATCCCTTCTTATTAGTCAAGATAAAATGTTCGTCGAAAAACGTGCTAATTTCGGATAAACTTGTCGTGTTAGATCACTTAGGTAGTGTAGGACTGCTACGCGGACTCCTTTGAACCACGAATATTTTACATGAGCGGAATAACATTGTTATTAGGTCGTCAAGAAGGTTCTTGTGCTTCTCGGTGTTTCTTCTTTTAGTGCTTTATTTTGTCGATTTCAAGCAAGCTGCCACTATGCTATAACCCGTTTTGGAGAGCTTTCCTGTTCTATCCAACAGCGGTTTAGCACTGATCTGCGTCATTATCACTTTTCGGAGCAGGGTCAACCCTACGTTGTTACGAGTAACAACAGGGGGTCGTACTCAGTTGAGCTTGGAAGGAGGGGTCGTACTTTCTCGGTGGCCAGCAGTGATATTTTTGGTAATATCGGATATTAGCTAGCAGGTTACGTTTTTGTAATATGACTGATACTGGAGCATCTATAAACCACGCTCCCCTCTAAATGAGCTTTCAAATGAAACAGCGAATTAGAAGGGCGCCCGAGGCGTGGCGCGCACCAAGGCAAGGGATGTAGTGCAGGCGCATCCTCAATGCTTTCTAGCACATCCTAGGTTAAACATGACATTGGTCTTCTAAGAAGTTACGGGCAGTGAAACCTAAGAGAACCCGCATTTTTGGGAAACTGGCTTGAAGAGAACCCCTCAAAATAAAAAGTAACAACGAGACTAATTTTTGAAGTGCTAACTTTGCAGGAACGCTCCGGTGCTCGGAAGAAAGCTTGAATCCTGTAGTTTGTCATACCCTGTTCGGCTTCCCAAATGAGTGACTTCGAAGGAAGTTATGATCGTTTGAAGGTAAAAAAGTGCGGTTCAAGAAAAATAGTAACGCAAACCCCCCAAAAAAGTAACAACGGGACTAATTTTTGAACTGCTGATTTTTCAAGAACGCTTGGGTGCTCGTTAGAAAGCTTGAATCTTGTAGTTTATTATACATGTTCAGCTTTTCAAATGAATGACTCTGAAGGAAGTTATGATCGAGGTCAAAAAGTCGCTTTGCACAGAAAAAAGTAACAACGTACTAAATTTTTATTAAATTAACTTTCGAAGAATTTTTACTCATGTTCGGAGAGAGAATAGTTTGAATTTTCCAATTCAAATCACTTCGGCGCAGAAGCTCGAATATGAAGGAAGTTATAGCCTTGGAAAGAGGGGTGTAAAAATTGTGTTGCAATTGAAGAACGTGAAGGATTTCAGTACTTCAGTTGGAGCGATAATTTTCCTGACTTCTCATAAGTTTATCAGGTTTTCATATTCCAGTCACTGGTTCAGTTTATTTCATTCATCCTTGTTTGGTAACCCTTTGAGTACACGGATATCTTTGAATGCATCTCATTTTTTCGTGTTTGCAAGCAGCAATGAATACTGTCTTGGATTTTACTAAAGTTTCATCTTTGATGAGTTACGTAGAAGTTAAGATTGATGGTAAACCCTTTCTCTACACAAGTGTCACAACAAGGGGGTCGTATCAAATCACCCATGAAGGGGGGGGGTCGTAAACAATTTCCAAAGAGTAACAACGGTAGGGTTGACCCTGTTTCGGAGCCTTGAAGACGGCATACTCAAGGTGCCAGTTTGCACGATTTTCTTTATCTTGCTCAAACAGCCTATAAGGAGCGAAAGCAGGTCAAGATATTACAGATGCGCTTGGCTGAGATTTGCAACAAATATGGTCTGAAGTATTTGTTCAAAAAGCTTTTGTAATGATAGCGAAAGCCCTAAAGATGATGAGGGAGGTGGTCGAATATGGGACAACGCCAACGATAAACCCAAAGTTCTGGTTGAACCACGCTTGTACAGAACTATTGAGAAGGCTCCTCACTATCGTCGTTGCTTTGTGGTTTCTTGCTGCACGGGAAGAGCTGGAAAGTTACAAAATTTTTAATAGGGCGTGACGCGAATACTCACCATTTTGAAATTCATCCGCAGCTTTGTGTGGAGTACTCTTGACAACTTGTCAAAATACCTTTAGATCTTGAGCACATTTGCCCTGTATTCCTTAGTACAAAGCAACCGACTCATCCCTGGCAGCGGTTCGGACGTACATCGCACAACCAACCAGGGTCATCCATCAACACATTTTCGGTATTTTTGCGAACCCCCCCCCCTCTCAAGGGAGTACAGTTGCACCTCCCCGTTGTTGTTATTAAGAGTGCTTCAAGTGTGAAAGTGCTGTGAGTGTTCTATTTCAATTCACATTTATTTCTCTTCACATTTATTTACGCCCTTTTCTTCGCAGTGAAATTTTGAATTTTTTTTAAATTCGTCGAGCAGGGCCACTTTCATCTACGCCTCAGAGGAAAGGTCCTCGTTGCAAGAACCCTGCTTCGGTGCTATTAAGCTTTAACTTGTGCCTTTGTGGTGGTTTCCATTAGTTAAAGGACACATGCATAAGATGTGCAGGAAGTAAACTAGACAAGGACCTTTACTCGCACCAAAAGTACAACTGGTATTAGATATGAGAAGCAGAAGTAAGAAGGAGTACGGGAAAATTAGAAGAAGAGAGTGAAGGAAAATCAAAAAAAAAGAGATTTGGTAAATGACGTCCGTCTTCGGCCTGGTTCAGTCAAATGGACAACCAGGTGGCGTTGGTGCGTGGCAGCCTGCGAGCCAACGGGTGTAGCGGATCGCTCACTGGAGATACAGAAGTCAGTTACGAAAATTCCAAAAGTTTGTAAAGAATTCTATTACGATGACACACACCAATTTCACCCAGTACGTCACAAAGCGTCGGCGTAGCGGCGTCAGCCGTGGAGCACGACAGGTATCACCCGGGCGCTGGAAGAACGGGACGCGGCGAAGGAAATATTTTCGAGGGGAGTAACTTTCTTGGGACGTGCTTTATGACTTGTTGAGGTAGATTCGAACTGCGCCTGAGGTGCGCTTTCAGGAAGCTACAAGATTACCTAACACTCCGGGAAGTACTTCTGTTAAAGGTGGAAAACTTAAAATTCTGAGACTTTGTAGGCCCATATTATCCTTCGTATACAGCATTTTGAAAAAGCTGTAAAAAGTTTCGGAAACTACAGATATTCCTCTATTTAAACAGCGTAAACAGTTTCGTGCTCGGCTCTTTTTCAAAAAATTGGCCGTTTGCACATTTTCTGTGCGAAGGCGAGTTATTGGGCTTCCAGAGGCCATAACTCACTTCATTTTCATTCCTGTGATTCACGTTTTGGAAATCGCTTCTCAAAGTTTACTTTTCGAGAAAACCTCACGTTCGAACATTTTTCCCCCACAGGTTTTTGAGCAGTACATTCGAGTTTTTGAGCTTTCAGCAGTAATAACTTCCTTCAAAAAGCTTGTTGGGGAGGGAGGAAGACATTTTTGAAGACTACGAGGTTTCTTCTTTCTTATATGTTATACAGTTTTCTGGAAGAAGTGTCCCCAAAAAATTAGGGCCCTGAAGAACTTTATTTCCAGCCCCAAGAAGTCAGACCTTTCATAGGGATGCATTCAACTGTTCTTTATTCCGTGAGAATACATCGTGACGTGCCTAGAACTGTTCCTCTATGCATAATAAATCGAATCTAATGCGGTCTTCACAAGCAATTCTTGCCCTCGGACACGCCACGCATGCGCCTGTGGCTGACATTTGGAAGTCTATTCCATCTTGCCATGACCTGCAGCTCGCAGCTGTTGTAATCCTTGTTCTGTTCTAATCCCTGTCTTGTAGTGTCAGGCTGGGAAACCAGTACGAAAGCCTGAAAAATGATTATAATTAAGTTATTGACTAATCCAAGTTTTTTATGAGCATACCCTCTCACCCTTTCATCCACCGACCAACGATGCTACTACCCCCTTCCTCGGCCCGTGACCAAAATGCGAACCCCTCATTCGAGCAGACGGTTGACCCTGCAACCAACCCTACACAATTAGACCAGCTTAGCTACGAATTAGCGCTGCAACTATCTTCCTCGCTTGGCCTTTTGCCTATGATGTCACGTTCTCGATGACCTGGATGATGCAATATCTTCGAAGAATTATGCTTCAAAACCCAACATAACGCTGAAACGACATCCCCGGGTTCATCGTCTCTAGAGCTCCAGCATTCCGCGCGACAAGGCAAATATATCCCATACCTATTGGAAGAAGTTTGTGGACTCGAACATTTCTCACTACAACCAAAAATATTCCGAAGGAGCCGAGATACACGCGTTTGAATTTCGAGGTCGACAAGTGCAAGAACTTTCTTCACCACTCAATTAAATCCTTTGGCCAAGTTTGCACAGCATCGATTACTCCTTGATGTTTGTGTTTTATGGAGTCCTCCGACGGTGATGATCCTACTGCATCGACCTACCGGACCCCTTCCTTCCAGCAGGCCAGATACGCTCCCCCCTCCCACTTGCCGACCTGTAGAACGCACGCTTGACCCTGATCGGGAAGACAAAAGTGAACGGCTCCATCGATCCTTTCTGATTCTCAAACGGGAGCCTCTGTTTGTTCCATGTCCCTGCGTTCTCGCTCTGCATTCGATCATCAAATTGAATTTTCCGCTCCGAAGCCTGAATCCTGTTCTCTCTTGTGTGCAGTTTCTCAGTCATCGTTGTGTTCAACTCTGGCATTCGTGTGCCCTCACTGCACTTCTCACTCCTTCATTGCCGTCAATTTCGTCGCGTCGTTCTGTTTGTCGTCATCCTTCTCTACCTGCACATTTCCCTTGCTGTTTAGAGCGCGATTTTGTCGCCGTCCAATCGGCTATGTGGTGATGCCACGCGACACCAGCGAGGAAGTGACTAGAGAGAATTGGAGTCGACGATTCTCGAAAACCGTGTTCGCTAATCTGGTACCGTTTCGCAAAACGAGCGACGAGAGCAAGTCACCCACGACGCAGCTCAAAGCACGGCGTCGTGCCAGCGCCGCTCCGGAGGTCTTGCTCGCCACGAGCGCCGCTGCAAGTCCGGAAATCAGTGCAGTACACAAGCAAAGGCAACGCCGACGTAGTGCCGACCGTATATACGCACTCAAGAGCAATCAGGTAAACGCAAATGCGTCTTTTTTTGCCCGCCATTTGGCTGCTCCACAGGATTTCGTTCTCGCTATAGTACTTGCAGATTCAGCCATTCTTAGCCTTCCCAAGAGGGTCTTTCAAAGTTTGCCAAGCTTTTTCGAAACGATCCTCGCATGATATAGGGGCACACGCGAGAACTACGGAACTGTGGTTAATTTTCCTGAACGGTTCTGAATGCCAAAAAAGGGGGTTACCGGTCCATTTCTCGTGCTGACAAACTTTGGCATTTCGAGTTGACGTTTCACAATTCTAGCAAAATGGAGTTAGCATGAGTAATGAATGCCATATTCGATTAGGACCGCCAGCTCCTTACAAATTGAGTTTGATTGAAAAACTTCCGAACAAGTTGTGAAACCAAAGTGGGGTCACAATTTTTCAGAGTTTCTTACACAAGCTCTATTTCCAAGGGTTACTGACGGTCCAATTGTTAATATGATATTCATTGCTCATGCACGTTCCATTTTGCGGGAATTTTGAAACGTCAACTCGGAATGCAAAGGTTTGTCACCATGGGGAATCGAACCGGGACCCCCCTTTTCTGGTATTCTGAGGGCCGTTCAGGAAAAAATGACCATGGTTCAGTGGTACCCGCATGTACCCCTATAACATGCAAGACAAAGAAGAGCTGAAAGCTGAAAAAGCTTCGAACCCTCTGAAAGACTTTCCTGGTTAGAGACACACTATCTCGAGACTTATTGCGCTTTTCTTTTTGGGGAGCGATCTTCATTGGCTTTTCAAAAGTCTCATCTCAGTGTTTTTCCTTTTGCAACGGAATGACCTCTCCAACTCGAATTCCATTGTCATCTTCATTCCTAAGGTTCTAAGGTTCTTTTTCGACAGTGTTTTCGAAAACTGTGTTAGGATTAACAAACCAATTTCTCTCAGGGCTATGATGTGATTCTTAATCTACTACAACGTAAGATTCTAAACAGTTGGTTCTAATGAACCCACCTGTATGGCAGGCAGCCGTACTCCCTGGTAACAGTGAGATCGCAGTATAGCAGTAGAGGAAAAGCTGCGGAATTCTCAAAAAAAAATCCCTGGCTCAGCCTAGATCATTAACTGTCGCACACGTAGTAGTCTAGTGTCTGTCTAGTGTTCGTTTACACTACACGTTTACAAGTCCGGTGTATACGGACACTCTGGACAATCACTTCGTGATTTGAGTCATTTATTCTCAAGGATCATCTGGACTGACCTGAGTAAGATGCTGAGCGCCCAATCACCCACTTGGGGAACTAGAAGATGAAGTACCCCAGCCACTGAAGGTCCATTAAAAGAAAGCGACGGTCTTCAAGAGGCTGTCCGCGAGTGTCTCGATCCTGAATATTACACAGCTGGCTGATGCAAGTGTTGTCGGCTTTTCTGTGTTCCGGCCGCATCTTCTGATAACGACGGAGTTTACGGAAGACTCGGTTCTGCTCTAGAGGAACATTTCAGCAAATTAAGGTCCAGGGGCCGTATGCAACAAGCCCCGAAGTCGTTTTCGGGGATATATCCCCGAAGATGGTATGCAACAAGCCCCGACGATCGTCGGGGACATATCCCCGAACTCGTATGCAACAAGCCCCGACGCATCGTCGGGGACATATCCCCGAAGTCGTATGCAACACGCCCCGACGATCGTCGGGGACATATCCCCGAAGTCGTATGCAACAAGCCCTGACGATCGTAACGGGGCATAATCCACCAGAAGATCGTATTGCAGGCCAGTCGACGATCGATCGGGAATATCCCGAGACCTTCGGGGTTTGTCTGCATAGGTCGTCGGGAGGATTCGGTCGGGATGAATCCCTCTAGCCTCGACTAGGGGGATTCCATCCCGACCGCCTCTCAAACGTACGTGTTACTTGAGCTACACTCAGTGGTCAATCAGTTGGAGCTGTCGCACGCTTTCATAGTCTGCGATCCCGCACGCGTCCGCGCCCGGGGTGGTGTACTTAGACAAACGCGACTGTTTTTCGGCTCTTCCGCAACGCGACATTTCGCGCGGCACGGCCCACCACTGGCGCACCCGTACCGACCAACACTACCCGTGTATGAAGAAAACGACGCGGAATATGGAGCACTTTTTGCATGCGTGGATTTCCCTCAAGTTTTTCTGATTCCCTGTACTATGCCCGCCGCCTCTACGACCCATGAATGATAAAATCGGTGAATCACTAATTCTGTCTTATTGTTGGAAACGTTTTGTGACATACACGATTCCGGGCGATGCCACGCAAATGGTGTTTTACGAATTATCGGTGTACGAGGGTCAAATAGTGTCGCTTTTGCTTGCATTTTGTGGGTTCATATTGTTGCATAGACATCTTCACAAGGGTATAACATCTTTTACGGAACGCTTCTGTCCTCATCACGGATATGGTACTCATTTTTTACGCTGGCGCCATTGGGGGCCGGGTGGCGCCACAACTGATTCCCACTAAACTCGCTGTAAACTTCTGTATAGGGGTTATTCGGGGTCCTGATTCGTTGTTAGCGCTATTCGGCGCCTGCTTCCTGCTCGTCTGCGCCCTCGCACAATTAGATCGCAATAGGACTGAGCCTTTGAGTAGTGCAGGGCTCCAAAGTGGGTAGGCCATTCCCCTGTGGTCTGACACACTCCAACTTTTGCCACACGGCGCGTGGTTTACCCACTCCGGAGTTTCACCCCCTCCCCCCTAAGCTTTCCTCCCCTAAGCTTAGTCGTAGGCGCTGTAGGTGAGAAAGCTTAGAAATGAAGAAAGTATGCGTTAAGCAGCACGAATCTGAAAAATGAGTGTCATATCCATGATCGGGGCCCCAAATAAGCCCTATGCAGAAGTTTACAGTCGTCTCATCAAACGTTCATCAGCCATTCCTCTTCCAGGTTCTCCAGAAGCTCTACCGTCCATCTCTGCAAAAATAACCTACCTCCCTCTTCACTGCTAGTTAGCGGTCCACTTATGGTTACAATTTCCTCGTTCATTGTCAAATCCATGGCTACTAAGCTTCAAACTCCTTGTCGCAATCAAAGCCGACACAAATATCGCGCTCCAATCGCGCGTTCTTATATACCGTAGTTGTTTTCGCTACGGGTGCGCCAGCCTGCCGCGCGATGTCGCGTTGCGAAGAGCGAAAAAGTCGCGTTCTGTCCTAAGTACCCACACCCTCCGCGCCGTCCGTGCGGACAGCGTGAAAAACGTCAACATGCGCTCTGGCGCACAATTGCGTACTTAACACGCACTTGGCGCCTCCCTCGATCGATAACTCGATTTCGGTGCATTTTTCAATGTTTGTGAATATGTGGTGCGATATCGATGAGAAATCACTCAGTTCCCTTACCCTGCGGCACGCGCAGACGTTATCAGCGAAAAAGCGAGCTCTAGAAAGATAGTTCATTTGAACAATCAGCAAAGCGCACTGATT